ACGCTATTATATATTGTCTTTTTCTTTGTGTCATCAATAGTGTCATATGACAATGTATCACCTTGTATCATGTATAAAATGTAAAAGTTCCACTTTAATTCGGGAAACACAGACGGCACGATGCCACACGATACACCCTTTCATTCAGGATCGACTCAGCTAAATTATGAATGGCGGTCGATACTTAGAGAGGGAAACCATTGTGCGGGTAGTCTGTGGGGTGTTCCCACTAGGGAAGAATTACGTGGCTTTCGCAGGAAAATAAAAAAAGAAAAAAAAGTGTACTCTGCAATGCTGCATATTATCGGTACGAATAATCCAGAAACTTGTTCAATATCCTCGTTATGTTACAATCTAATGACTGATCTATTCTTCGAAATGCAATTTTCCTGTAACCTTTTCTCCTCTCCCGCGCTTTTTTGCTCCTAAAACCGAATTAAACTGACACACTGACCTCAAACTTGAAGATGAATATGTTGCAATTTTAAAAATATTCATTATTCTTCACAAACGTTGACTTAAGAATAAAATATTTAAATTTTACTTACTTAATAACTATTTGTTATAAAATTTTTTTGGCTTTATTTAAGATTAAATATTTATTAAAAATTATTATATAATATCTATGTCAGAAAAATACATTATGAAACTTTGTAAAAAATGTCGATATCTACATTTGATAATTAATGTAAAATAATATAAAAAATAATAATATAATATAATATAAAATAATTTTATAGTTTTAGTATTTGTATTAAAATAAATTTTTAAATATTCATTTATACATAATTTTTGTAATATAATTTTTAATATACATTTTAGAGTTTACACATTTATCAATTTTTCAGTTAAATATAGTACAAGTTTATCATTTTATATATATTTAATAGATGTATTAAATGTGTATTAAATATGTATTAAATTATCCTATTAAAAAACTATTTTTACAGAATTATTTATATATTTATGTATAATAAATTTATAAGAAATGTACACAAGATTAATAATTGCATACGCATACAAATCATTTTTTTCAAATTTACAGTAATACATCGATTGTATATCAAGATCCTCGAAGACACAACTTCAGTATCGAGGATTCATTCGCCTAAGAACTGTGACCGTTTCTTTTCAAGAGTGCGGAGCGACCGATAACGTTTACGGCGAGAAAGAGAAGCGTGAAGAAGCTGAAGGTGCAATCCTAGAAGGATCCAGTATCTAGCAGTAGAAAGATCACGAAAAGGGTGAAGGGTAAAAGCATCTAAGGGCGGGTGGGGGGATGCAGCTCGAAAGGGTGGCGGCATGGAGGAGCACTCGTTGGAGGCTCTCATGCAGGCGAGCCTTATCCTCGTGGTCGCCATCGCCATCATCGTCTCGAATCTCCTCATCATCGCCACCTACCTCAACTTCCGCGGTAAGTCAGAATTATTTATATTTACGAATTTCTTTTTCGTATTTTAAAATTATATTATTGACATTATATTTATAATTTTAATTTTAGTTATCATATCTAGAAAAACATTCAAACGTTGACTCTTCTTTTTTCTTACATATATTTACTTATTTTAAAAGCCATGAACATATAACTTTATTATTAATAATAAATTTATTATTATTAATAAAACAAATTTTCAACTTGGCATGTTCATTAATAATATATGCATTTTTTGTTAATGCTATGTGTACACACACACACACACTACACACACACACACACACACACATATATATATATATATATATATATATATATATATATATATATATGTGTATGTGTGTAATATTTTAAAATATAATATTTATTGATTCTTGTAATAAGTAAAAATAGGTAATTTTTACAGAGAGATTACTAAATTTTTACATTTTAAATTAAGTATTTTAAATTAAGTATTTGAATTTTAGAATTTCTGAATTTTTAAAATTAAGAATCTTTTAATCCTTAAATTCCCTAAATTTTTGAATCTTTCTCGATTAGTTAATAATATTAATCTATGCTAATGAAAAGAAATATAAGCATAGTAAACTTGTAACAAAAGAATAAATATAATCACGTGTTATATTAAAAATATTTTATTCACAGGTCCCTCCGAGGTGATAAACTACTATTTGTTATCACTCGCCTCGGCAGATCTTCTGTGTGGTGTGTTGGTGGTCCCGCTTTCGGTGTATCCGGCTTTGGTACGAAGATGGGTCTACGGAGATATCGTGTGCCGACTTGTCGGTTACTTGGAAGTCACACTTTGGGCAGTATCAGTATATACCTTCATGTGGATTTCTGTAGATCGCTATCTGGCTATCAGGTACATTAGAATTATCATCTATCATACAAAAATAATAATACGTAATTATATACATAGTTGTAATACTAATATAATAATGCATTAATATATATTTCATTACATTAGTTATATTACTTATTTTATATATTTTTGCTATTATATTAATAGCATTAAATATTTAAAAATGATTTTTTAATTGTAGCAGTTTTCTCTAAATATCACATATGAGATTTGACTTTTGTAATAAATTTCTTTTATAGGCAATTTTAATTTTATTGGTATTGATAACGCCGATTCTTAAAAAAATTCTTTTGTATTATTCATCATTGCAATTATTTTTGCAGGAAACCATTAAGATACGAGACTGTACAGACGAAAACCCGTTGTCAATGCTGGATGGTCTTCACATGGATCAGCGTGGCGATGATGTGTTGTCCACCCTTGCTCGGTTTCAACAAACCAATCTTTGACCGCGAGGCCTTTATCTGTATGCTCGATTGGGGAAATATGGCCGCATATACCATCACGCTGTCCATTCTCGTGTTGGGACCGTCAGTCATCACCATCGTCTACACGTATTTCTACATATTCTCCATGATGAGGCGACTAAAATCCGGTGTTCTAATCCATGACAAGGAGTATGCTACTGCGCTATCAGAAAATCTGAGCAATCCAAGTCACATTATGTCCTTCGTTTTGGTGATGGCTTTTGGATGTCATGGGCGCCGTATGCCGGATTAAGAATATACGCGGTTGTTAACGGACCTCCTCAGGTAATAATTTTTAGAATTCTCTCTCTCTCTCTCTCTCTCTCTCTCTCTCTCTTTCTCTCTCTGAATATTATATCTATTAAATTAATATTAATAAAAATAATTTTATTTCATAGAAGGTGTTAAGAGAAAATTAAAAATATGACGTGCGTATAATATAAATACGAAATATATATACATGGCGATTCCGAACAATTGCAACAAATTTAAAGAGATGTTAAATTTTATTAAATTGTTCAATTTTAGTTAAGTAAAAGTAATTGCCATGTCCGGCAATACTTCCTTAATATTCGATTTTTGGGATATATTGTATATAGCATATATTGTATATGTATATAACACATAATGTATATATATATATATATATATATATCTGAATATATAGATAAAAGTAATTGTTTTTATTAATATTAATATTAATTTCTCCAAACAGAATTTAATATTATACGAAATAATAAAATAAAATTAATTGGAAGGCAAAAGTCATATAGTATTAAGCGTAATTAAAATGAACGATATCTAGAATTGTGTTTAATTTACCTTTTTATGATTAAATATCTACGAAATCAGCTAGATACTAGATACTTTTAATTTCAATACAAAGAATAATATGATCTATAAGTATTATTATTTTTCTAATAATATAATATTATAAAACTTGTCTTCTTAAAACACTAACGTTAGGATGATTGTAATGATACTTGCTTGACATTGACATGAAATAAATTTAAACTTTGTGAAAAGAGGCATTGAAAATGAGACGATTAAAAATGTAGGTCGACACGTTTGTGAAGCAAAGTAGGTTAATAGAAAAAGCTTGCTAGTACATAAGAAGTTCACATACAAGGATATACTTCATATGGTACTTATACAGAAAAAAAGAAGATATAGAATATTACATCTACATATATGGTGCACACAATTTTTGTACTTATATATATTTAAAATAAACTTTTTCTTTCGTTGAAATTTTGAAGAATTAAAATGATTACATTATTATAAAGGATTTGCTTCCATTTGTACTTTTATTATGTAGAGAACTTTTATTAAGAACTATAATTATTATATAGTAATAGAATTGATCTTAAACATTTTTAATAAAATGCGAAAAATAATAATCAGGATTTTAACTTGAAATTGTAAGGAAAATTAATAAAAAAAGGTTAATAAAGAGTGAATCCTCATTATAAATTATGAAAATAAAAAGATAACCAGGAAAGAGCAGACTTATAAATATTTATTAATATTTGTAGTTTGATTTCTATTTTATTTAATTGTAGGTACCGTTTCTACATTTTGCTGTGGTATGGCTGGGAGTCACAAACAGCTTTTGGAAAGCAGTTGTACTCAGCACATTAAGTCCCCAGTTTCGATTGGCCGTGCGAGTGCTCTGTCTCACCATATGCTGTCGACACAGGCGACTTCCGCCAGAACTCCTCGGCCTCGACGACGACGACTAATATCACATCGATTACGTTTACGAGCAGCAATGCTGATGTTGCGTTCTGTTCGATACGCGGTGTGTTCTTAAGAAGTCGCTTTCACCTCTATTCAAAAATCGTCCTCGCATCTTACAATTAGCACCACTCGCAAGATGGTTCTTTAAAACTTCGCGCTTAAATAAAAATAAATAAAAAATTACGATTCGGGTTCTTAATCTTAATTTAGTTAAAATAAATTATTTAGATAGAAGTAAAAAGTATATTAATTGATATTAATTGATATTAATTATTGATATTAATTGATATTAACAGAATAGATATGTGGAAGGTAAAAAAACATTTTAAAATATATATAGAAGCAATTTATAAGCATAAAAATTGAATTTTTTGAATTCTTAAGCGAATAAAAAAAGTATAAGTTTAAATTTTATTTTAATAACTGTAAAAATTCAATAAGTTTTCAAGAAAAATATTTTTATTGTTTGTATTTTAATTATATTTATATAGCTGTAAACATAAATTTAAGTAATATATATTTTTTGGGAAGAGAATAGTTTTCTAAAAATGTAAAATTTTATCCGCTTGCAAAAACTGCTTTACAAAACGCTTGAGAAAAATCTAAGGTACAATAAACAAATTTCCCAAATTTTGGAGAAAAATAAAAAGAATTTAGAATATTTTATTAATAACTCTCTTACTCTTGCTCATTGCAATTACATAAATAATACTACCAAAATAGTTAAACGTTCTCTCTTAAAATTATTATATTAAATTAAATCTATAGTGCATATAAGCATACGTTTGAGATAATATAGACAGCTCAAATTTCATCTAGATTGAACTGTAAAAGTAATCAAAATTATAATCAATATTTAGCTTGCCCGATTTTCATAATAAAAACATAAATATTATTATATCATTTATACAAAATATAACGCGAGGTAGTAAGAAGATGCGAGTGGTGCAACGAATTTTACGAAATATTTTGCCGGCGGAATTCGGCGACTTCGCCGACGCGCGTCCATTTCTCTAAAATAATCTCGCTTCGCTCAAACACGCTAGAGTCCGTTAATTAGTGTCCCATTCATTGGGATAACTTTCTGCGCCGTACATAATGATAAAACTGAGAACAATGAGTCGTTCTGCAGTGTTTGAAAACTAATCGTCGCCTAGTTTACATCGTAAGATCACGCTCAATAAATGTTGTAGCAAATTATGCGGAAAACTCGAGTTATTATTATTAACTATCATGGAAGCAGACTACAGATCTAATCATAAAATTGATTCATTAAACGACGCCGGAACATATGCGGGGAGAAAAATTTAGTCAATTAACGGAGATGCCTCTATGAATGTGACGCGTTGTCGGCGACGAGTTTTTGCGTCGTCGAAGTGTCGTCGTGCCCGTAGAACACCCTCGATGAAAGATAATCTAGTATCGAGCGTGCGAATATTACGCTTTTTTAATGCGCTTCCTTGCCGTCGGCTTTCTGTGCTCTTTCTCCTTCTCGTCGAGAAGCAAAACTGCAAAACAATTTACAAAATCAAAAAGTTTATGCATTTTTTTCAATGTCGATTAATTCGTATTCCTTCTCATATTGTTAGTATCCTTTGATATGCTAATAAATATAACTATAAATTATAATAAAATTATTAAAATGATATAATAATATGATATGACTATTTTTGATTTATCGATACATATTAACAACAATATTAATAACACGCTCGTAACAAATGAAATAAATTAGCAATTGAAAGTTTGCCAATTTATTTGGATAAAAAGTTGGTACATCTTGCGTAAAATTTTAGAATACTTATTATGATGAATATGATTTGTACAAAATTTTTTTTATTTATATTGAGCCTCGCTTTTATATTATATAATTTAGCAAAAATCAATCGCTAAATTAATAATCGAATGATATCGCTTTTCGACAAGAAAGGGAAAGATGTTTCTCTTCAGAATCTAACTAGGCTCTCGTCGTACTTTCTTGACGTACTATATTAACACCCTCCCCACATGAAAATCAAAATGTCGTCGTTTAATCTAATTCTTAATTTAGATCATGCTAGTTTCAAGGGCATTCTAACTCGGCCCCGCTATAAGCTTTATTACTAATCTTATACTAAATGATATATATGCGCGAAATCGGCTAATAACAACTTTTTTGCATGAGAATATAAACTATTGCGTCCAATTTTCGCACGTGAACTATGACAACTCGAGGCGCAACTTCGAATGTATTTGGACAGCTTATGTAATCCAACCAAAGTTGAAACTAGAATCGATATTCTAGAAGAAGGCAAATGAGGAGAAAATATATATATGTTGATGGTATAGAAATTTTCGTTTTGCAAAATAAATTTATGAAAGAAGAAAAACTTTTTGACTGCTTAAATTTAGGCGTATCAGCAAATGCGAATGCAATACACCACAAAAATGAAAAAAAAAGACATTTTTATATATTTGTTTAAAATGATCGATATATATTTCTTTTTAAACAAAAATTAAACTATGGATGTAATAATTAGAAAATATAAACATTTAATATTTTTTATGTAATTTTTATTAAAAAATTTTTCTGTGTTTTGCAAGAGATAATAGATTCCAACACAAGAAAAATTAGCGAACGTGAACAGATTTTTGGCGCCTATTACGGATAGCATAGAATGCTAGAATTAGGCGTAGCTGAACTGTCACGTAACATCGCTAAAATGAAAAGCGAACGATGAAATTTGTCAATGTTTCTTCACTGTGCTCCTGAATAATGCTCGCGTGAATTTATGTCGGCGCGCCCTAACGTTTTTAATAAATAATGTTTTAATAAATAATAAATTCTCAAATGAGAATCTATATACAAATTGATGTCTAGGAAATCTCAACTTCTATTTTTTACTATAAACGTATTTTATTGAAGTATGGCTTTTCTCTAAAAAAAATTAGTCCGATATAAGTGTTTAATTACCGTAATTCGTGATGTTTAGTGCATTGAAAGAACAATTTGTGTCAAAAATGTGTTTTTCCGTGAATGAAGTAAAGCTATTCGAAATGTCTGCTCGTTTTAAATGTAAACATATAAAAAAAATTAAAACAAAATCTAAAACAATTTAAAAATATATTAGAAAAAGTTACTTTGATCATATAGAATAATTTTTACATATAAAATAATTTTTTTTGTATATGTAATTTGCATCTATAAATGCAATGTTGAATAAACTATAGAGAGATACTAAGATTAATTTTATTTTAGCAAAATATTATTTAAAAACTTTTCTCTTTAATTTAATTTTTAATTACAACTTTATTTAATGTTATTAAGGAATAGGATTATAGAAACTAATGAAATTTTAAATCTTTTGGATAATTTTTGAATAAATAAAGCGAAATATTGGATTATTAAAAAAGTTAATGTAGTAAGAAGATGAAATGAACTTTTATGATATGACGATGTCTTACAACTATTGATACAACGGAATCAAACAATACTATCAACTATTTTCTAGTTCAGGTGTTAGCTAAATAAATCAGCTGAAGTTCCGGCTAAGAATTAATGCAGGTTCAACTGTTAAGGAAAATTTCGGGGAAAATTCACGAAGATCTCAAGTGATAAAAAAAGTATAAAATCTAAAATATAACAAATTATCGTGTGTTTTCGTATATTATCATAATTATCATATAGATTATTGCCAGTACAATGAGTAACGGTGATGTAATTATATAATAAAACATTTCAGCTCAACCATGAAGACTTAAAACTAACCGCATTACTTATTGTACTGATAATAAAATCAAATAAAGATAATAAAAGCAAACATACATAATTTATGTTATTAACATATACGTTCCCAAAAAATATCTCCCCGAGAAGATTTTATGTTTTTGAACTGCAATAATTTTTAGGCTATAACGCGTTTACAGATTTTATTGCAAATATCTCTTTGTACTTATAAAATTGCTCGTGATCCGGTTTTTTCGTCCAGATCCGAATATCTAAGCTTTACTCCTGTACTCTATTATCGCTGCTGTGCAGTGGTTCGAGATAATTTTGTAGCGAAAAATTTTTCTTTTGACAGATGGAGTACTTAGCTTTTTACTTTTTTCAAATTTACGATTAAAACCATCACGAATTTTTATTACTATGAGATTTCAAATCTTTTAAGTCTAAACTATAGATCTTTATAATAATTATTACTAACATTGAATTATATTGTTATCAATTAATTATTAATTAATATTAAATTTATCTTTTAATGTTTTAAATAAAAATTTCAATAATATATATATAAATTTTTATAAAAAATATAAAAATACAAAGGATTTACAATTAATAGATTATATTAAGTGATAGATTATATTAACTTATGATCCACTTCAATTCAATATTATCAAATATTCAATATTGTCAAAAAGACATTAATCTTCTATTAAAAGGCCTACATAAGATTTTTTTAAATAATGTATTAAGTAAGACAATTTTTAAGTAAAATAATTTATAAATTAAACATATATTTATTTATAATAAAACAAATAATATTTTTATTATTTTAAGATGATTATATAATTATACTTTTCTTTGAAAATAATCATTCCATATTGTGATTTTATTATTTTAAGATGATTATATAATTATACTTTTCTTTGAAAATAATCATTCCATATTGTGATTTTAGGATTAAATGTTTAATTAAATGTTTAATTAAATTAATAATTAATATTTATTATAATCTTGTTATACTGCTTACTATATAATTATTTTATAATTTTGTTAAGTTATATAATAAAAACAAATCTCGCATCACTTTGCACACGCGGATTCGCCAAATCGAGCAGTATTAAATTTCTCAGCAATTACGACATTCTAAACATGTGAAAGTCGCTCAAAAGAAAAGTAAAGAATGGTTGCGCGTGAGAAAGTAAAATTGTAGGATCAAAAAAAAACCGATTATTCAAGTGGATATTCAAGTGGACTTGAAGTGGCTAATAGGAGTAGATTTGTCAGTAACGAAAAGAAAAATGAATAGATAACGAGAAAGATGTAAAGATAAATGCTAAAAAAGATGATGAGCGAACAGAATTGGTCCCTGGCAGTTTCCCGGGCGGCCTCCATTATTAACAATTAATTACATTTTTGTACCTAGCTGCTAGTTTTGTACTAGTTTTGTAACATACG